TCGAGTCTGTCGTCAATAGGACAAATGGAGTGAAAGAATGTTTGCTTTGACGTATTTGGTTTAAACGGCTTGTTCGCATCTTTGTACAGATATCAGAAGGTTCCCAGCGCAAGGAACAAGTGGATAGTTTATTTTTAATGGCATCCTGTATCGTGTCAGAGGATTGATCGGAGCATTTTGTTTTGTAATCGAGGCACAGTGTTATGGAGAGTTCACAAAGAAACATTTGTTGAAAGATGAAGTGGTACTAACTGTAAGTATATTTTTTTAATGCTTCAGTGCTCCCCTTTAAAAATTCCCACCACTCCTTTTGTACAGTCCTAAAGTTGTACGGTCCAAAGATTTTGTACATGTCCTAAAATACTGCCTAGTAAGAACACATTCGGACCACTTAACACAATGATTACTTAGCATTTTCTGTAAGTTCAGGATGTCGATTACGTAATAGATGTGGCCGTGGGGTCGGCGAAGGTGACTCCACCCATCCTCCTCAGTTCTGGGTCCACCGCACCTGTGAGGGTGCACACCAGCCAAGAGCAGACGGGTCCAGTTCTGCATGCACCAGCTCATATCACAGCTGACCGGGCTCCGGTGCCCACCTGTCCCGGTGCTTTTGTGTCCATATAAGGCAATTTACCATATGGTCATAACTGCGCTTTCGTTACTGTACCCTCCACTCGCTCTTAGTCACCCCGTGGCTCTCTACGGTGAGCTGTGTTTATTAACAAGACGGTTGCTTCATGAGAGCAGTACCCGTGTTAGAATGTGATAGCCTATGCAAATATGAGCACTTAAAGGGACAGTTCAACCAAAAATGAACATTCTGTAATCATTTACTCACCCTCTTTTCATTCCAAACCGGTGTGACTTTGTTTTGCAGATATTTTGTGGATTTTTGGTTACCAAATAGTTTTGGCGACCATTGACTTCTATTGTATGGATCAAAAACGTTTTCTCAGAATATTTTCCTTAATGCTCCACAGAAAAAAAAAGAAAGTCATACAGGAATTTTCATTTTCGAGTGAACTAGACTCAGAATCATTTTCAAAAATGTTTTATTCAAGTAATTTTGTTCCGTGCCATGTTGACTTCTCTACACCGTGGATTTCAGAACTGAAGCTCAGTATATTTGTCTGTGTATTTGTTTCTGATTAGGACTAAGAAAAAAACGCTGTCGTTTCCCACGTCCCTTGGCTGCCCCCTCCCGCATACCTCTGTTGTCAGGTAAATCACCGACCCAGAAACAACAGCTCCTGGCAGCTTAAGCATATGCTTTATTAGCCAGTCTAATCTCTAAAACGCTCTGGTTTGCAGCCATTCGTTTTTGGTAAATATATATTCTCTTTAGCTATGACACCCACCCTTTGTTTTTCATGCCAAGAACCTTTGTATCTCGAAAAAAAATGAATGTTCTAGATTAAATGCAACTTAAACCCTATTGACAGCTGCTGCTGATTACCACCGACAATAATATGGAGTCATCTTTTGTTTGAAATAACAAACAATAATTCACTTGCAATAGAATTCAATGAAGCAGTTGTACAGTACCAGAATAAACATGGAAAATAATGATAACACTTCAGATTAGGGAACACTATTCACTGTTAATTAGATGCTTATATTAGCATACATATTACTAGCATATCGACGGTTTATTATACTTATAAAGCACATATTAATGCCTTTATTCTCTATGACCTTATTACCTCATAAATAAAAAAACAAAATAAAAAAAACTTTATGCTTTTACATTTTCCTATGCTCTCATTATTCCTTATTGCCTTCCTGTCCTAGCTTTTACTATTTTGAATTGTGACGGAAACCTTGTGTAAATGGCACTTCTCGTGTTTATTGTCATCCTATGTTGAATCGCTCGTTGTATTCCTCAACTGTAAGTCGCTTTGAATAAAAGCATCTGCCAAATGAATAAATTTAAATGTAAATGTATTCTAGATTTTTTTACACTGTTTTGAAATTATTGCCATAACATTTAAACATTATTAGTGTTAGACAACTTTACATGTCAAATAATGTTTTTATTTGAAAATAATTACGGAATATTTCACATAAAATTGAATGTGTACTGCTTTTAAACCAAACAGTGTAATCACGCCAATGACCTCCGTTACATTTGCATTAGCACAAACTTTCCATAGAGCTTAAGCTGTATTTAACCTGTAAGTTTCCTTTAAACATCTCCATGCACTACAGGCCTCATATTCTACAACTCAGCATGACCAATGGCACCGTTTAAAGACGTGCAGTAATATTTCCTTAACAGATGTTTAATGAAGACGTCTAAACCCTCATTACCCCATTCACAATAGGGGAAATAGGGACATTTCACTGTGCTATGCCATCACTTTAATTTTCCCTTGCCTGGAGGCCTAAGATTGTGTCTGTTGCATCAGAAGTCAATATTGCTGTAATATTACATTTCCCAAACTGTCTCCACAGGCGGTTTTTAATGGGAGTCATGCAAGGGAGAGGATCAGCCTTTTCCAGAATGCATGCGTTCCATAGGGCCACATAATACTACAGTTGATTAATTACTTGATTAAAATAATAATACACTAGAAAATAAAATGCATATTTGCTGAATGATATACACAATTTGTTTTTGTCTATTATGTCCACATGATGTGTGTCGGTGGGGGATTAAGATGGAATTGGGTGAAATTGTTGTGCCATTGGCTGTATTGTTTGAGGTGGATTGGAGTTATTAGTTTTTAACATGCACTGTCCTGTGGGGAGGGACGTCTCCACCCAGCAGAACACTGTCCATAGGTACAACACATGCACACAGTAAATCTACCAGAGATTGTATGACAGTAATACTTTGCACAGCTTCCACTGGAATTCAATTTATAGTCACTCCATAATTGCACCATCAACAAATATTATACCTTATACTCTAAATACCATGTAGCAAGAATCCCACACCATGCACAGTATCCTCACTGCATGTCTCAATCAAAACAATACCTCACATTATCATAAACATAAGGCCGCCTAGATAAGCAGATCAACTGGGCCATACTTAAGGTTTATATATTTTTTCATTGTTCTTTGGGGCTTCTGTCACTTGAGATAACGGACATAAGACGCAAACTAAAAGTCCAGAATTTTTCACCAAAAAGTGTGAACACTCAGGCTCTGTGGCACTGCCAAAATATTTAAGCAACCTTGACTCAGCCAATGGCGTGAGTTTGTATGATAGAAGAGATGGAACAACAGTTGTGCACATTTGTAAACGGGAATAGTAATATACAATTTGAATGGAAAAAAAATCAACCCTGAAGTCATCTGATTCCGTTGTTTAGATTCAGACCGCAAGAGTGCCTATTTTTTCCCATTCATTTTTTCCCCATATGGATTTTTAAAAAAAATAATTAAAGAGGTGTAAGCCATGAGTCAAACTAATCAGCTGAGGTGAATCACAACATTACATTACAACTTTGATTTGAAGCACCAAAATATTTGAAAATCGGCCAGAAAGACAAAGGTTCAAGACTTTGTACTTTGACTGTACTGAGGGAAAGAATTACAGTCCCATGAAGCATTGTGAATGACATAATCAAATAAAAAAAAGCTAGAGAAATGTAAAACTATTGATTTATATGTTGATTGTGTATATATATATATAAAAACAATATATATTTAATTTATCGTAAAATATATATACACATTTTTGAGAATGTAGGAAACTGGTTTGATTGCATCATTCCAGTGATTTATAGGAGTGAGTGGACGTTCTTTGTGGTGTGATTTTATTGTCTCCATTCTCTGATTGGTGGAGATTTCACTGCAGAATAATTTTTCACCAGATGTAGTTTTTAACCAGAATATCCACTGTTATATTCAAGTATTAAAAAAGCATATTTAACAAAAGCGTAGCTCCAAGGTCTCTCTTTAAAGTTTAATAAGATATAGTTAAAAATCAGTTCTTGATGGAGAATGGGAACGAGAATTTTACTTCTGGAACCCGACTCATGGATACTTCATTCTTAAAACTTCAGACAATTTGGATAATTCAAATTTTTAATAATTCTAATGCTATCATTCTAGTTATGCAAATTTCTTATAATAATACATTTTTTAAAATACTTTCATGAAATTTTAATGAAATAATTTTCCGATGAACGAATCAAATTTATCACAGTTACCACAGCATATATCAGTATTCAGTTGTTAATGAAGATATTTGAAAGACTTTTTTGACAGCAAGTAAATTTTAATAGTATGGACACCACCCCCCCAAAAAATAAACATACCATTGAACATGTTTTACCAAGGTGCATTCATGCCTAAATTCAGTTACACTTTACTTAAGGTTATTATTACAGTGTAATTACACAAAAGTACTGACTAATATTAAGTAACAACATCTATTTACTGTAGAGTGAGGTATAAGATTAGTTATTTTTAATTATTCATCATTTACTTTTATTATTGCATTAAGAAGTAAGTACAAGTAACATGTATAACAAGGACACTAAAATAAAATGTTACTGAAAATTTCTTATTAGAGAATTTATATATTCCTCATAGGGTTAACTGTTAAACGTTAACTGTACTAAATTAACACTAAATTACAGTGAGAGCTCTGCTTTTTATATAAGAAAGAAGTTAGATAAGCATCTTTAATTTTCTCTGCAATGATGTAGTCAAGCATGTTTGCACAGTTGCAGTGTTTATTTTGGAGTCACCTATCTGTTCTGAACTGAAGTACTACAGAGACACTAACACAGCAGCATCCTGCACAACAGACAAGCCTCTGATGCTGCACGCAAGTGTCACTCTCTCGCCTTATCACTGAAGAGAGAGAGAGAGAGAGAGAAGGAGACCCAGGTGGTCCTACATGTTCTGGAATGCAGGACGTGTCACATGCCTTCCTTCAAGCAGACAGACACTCCTAAAGAGGTCCGTGTCAAGCCCCCTCAAAGGAATAAAGACAGGAGGAGGACAGCGAGCTAATGTCAGGCCACCCCATTGAAGCGATGACGGGGGAGGATGTGATATTTCGCCTACCTCCGGATAGCACCCCTGCTCTGACCCAGCCGTGGCCCCCCAACCGCCGACGTGTGCTGGGGGTTAATTGGGACGCAGCAGGAGCAGAGTCAAGGGTGCGGGGGGTCTGCATCTTCACCGAGCCTCGTCTTCCTCAGCCCCATCCTCGAGTAGTAAAGAGGACTAGAGTGAAGCCGATATCACCAAGAATCCCCCCCCGCCTGCTTTTGACAAGCTAATAGTCCGACTGCGCGCACACGCGCGGCCTCGTCTCATACGAGACGGGAGAAGAAAAGAGTGGGAAGGCAAGTAGTGTGCAAAAAAGCAGGAGAAGAGAAAAGAGAAGTAGTCAGCAAGCGCGAGTTCCTCACACACCATCCTTCCTCCTTTCTTCCATCCGTACCCTTCTCTCCGCTCCGCTTTTTCCTGACTTACTTTGCTTTCCCTGCGAAAGCTCCATTGTTCCCCTTCCCATAAGTCTCATCAGCCTCTTTTGTGGCCGACTATCACAGCGGCAGGCAGAGGCGCGCTGGAAACAGAGTCAAGGGTGCGGGGGGTCTGCATCTTCACCGAGCCTCGTCTTCCTCAGCCCCATCCTCGAGTAGTAAAGAGGACTAGAGAGAAGCCGATATCACCAAGAATCCCCCCCGCCTGCTTTTGACAAGCTATTAGTCCGACTGCGCGCGCACGCGCGGCCTCGTCTCAAACAAGACAGGAAAAGAAAAGAGAGGAAAGGCAAGTAGTGTGCAAAAAAAAGCAGGAGAAGAGAAAAGAGAAGTAGTCAGCAAGCGCGAGTTCCTCACACACCATCCTTCCTCCTTTCTTCCATCCGTACCCTTCTCTCCGCTCCGCTTTTTCCTGACTTACTTTGCTTTCCCTGCGAAAGCTCCATTGTTCCCCTTCCCATAAGTCTCATCAGCCTCTTTTGTGGCCGACTATCACAGCGGCAGGCAGAGGCGCGCTGGAAACGTCTAAATGGTATCATGGCTCGTGATTAAGCGCGCGAGCTTCGGCGGTGCCGCGGCTGCTTATGAGTCAGGTCTGATAAGGCGAGGGCCCTGCTCTCTACTCAATTTTAGATACCGTTAATGGAATCTGTCTTGTGCGATTGTAATGTGAGAGCGCCTAATTTGCCATGGAGCTTGAAGCTGTCAGCGGCGAGGGATTGCGGGGTCAGGAGGGAGCTGGCAGCCGCTTGGCCCGCGGCGTGTATCTGTGCCGCTGAATAGAGCAGCTCTCCGCCTGTCACTTAGCTGATAGGCTGATGAGGACTCTAAGCCACTCGGCACAATGAAGAGAGGGCCATACTGCCTCGCTTCCCCCCTCTACCACCCCCCTTTAATTGTCAAGCTCGCTAAAATTTTTCCAAGACAGTGTGCTGGAGACCGGGCTCAGTTTTTTTTCCGCTGCAGCTCTCTCTCTTTTGCTTCTTCCCAACTTTTTTTATTCTCCTTGCTTTCCTTCATTTCTGTCTTCTCGGGCCTCCAACAGACAAAGCTGACCTCGCTCGTTCATCCTTTTGTCCAGCGTTTCCTTTTACCTCGCCCCGGCCATGTGTCCTATCTTATTCTTCCCAGCTGGAGTCCCAAGTCTAAGTCAAGTCTCGAGTCTTTTGTCACAAGTCAAAGTCAAGTCTTAAATTATACTGTATATGTATTGCAGGTGGATATGTACATTCAAAGATTTTCCCCCAATTATGAATTCACGAGTTAATAGATAAACAGAATTTGTTTTACATCCAGCTAAGATTTCTGAGCCTGTTTACCATTTGAAGTATGCAGTTGCATTATTCAGTCATGCTTTATGTGGTGAAATGTCTACATATAAACAATTTTGGAGCATTGTACAGTATTTATGTTGATTTTGTTTTTTGTTTTTTTATAAAATAACAGATAAAACTTTATTTTACAGTGCCCTTGTGACATATACTTACTATGTAATAACAGTAAATTATTCATAATTACAAGCAACTAACCCTAGCCTAAAGTAAGTAATGTTATTAATTAACATTACTCAGTACTTGTTTGTCAAAGTCAAATTAATTAATTAATTTAGCACTTTTCACATATTGTTTTAAAGTAGTGTTACAGAAAATCATGAAATTAATGTTTAATATCTTCATGCCTTGTCACTTTTATCAGATTAGAGCTGGAAAATAATATAGTTTATAGTTGAGATACATGCTACATATTATATAATTGCTTTACGTGAATTTACTGTATGGACACGGATAAAGTTGGACATACTTGGTTATATATCCAAACTTATATGAAAAGCTTTATCTGCCCCCTAATCATCTGAATAGTACCATTGGTTTTGGACTCTGTACTGACACCTGTTGGTGTGGATGTATTTGTCATTATTTTGCCGTGTTAAAATTAGGGCACCTTAAATTGAATAGCGCAATGATTCTTCTGTACCTTTATTTTTATTTGTTATGTAATTAAACTCATGATGCCAGAACTCATAACATCATCACTGTTAATTACTGATTTATTATTTTGGTCTTTCAAGCATTTTTGAATGGTTACAGTTGGTCATTTGTTGATTTGCTGCTTCATATAGATTTTCTTTTACATACCAGATGTTGTAGCATAAGAGTGCTTACACACTAGAGTTTACGGTATGTCAAAAAAACATTGAAAAACTGTATATAGTCCATCACTGTTGTCTCCTCTGTGCTCAGGGTGGCTGGTCCTGGTCCAGGGGCCGTCCTGGCAGGTGGAGTTTTTGCAGTGTCCAGGCTGGTATGGCAGTGGTCGGTCGTGGCTGAAGTCTTTTCTCTTAACAACTTGTTTGTGGGCGTCCTTTTCTCACTCTCGGCCTGCTTCCACTGTGCAGAGAGTGTTCATCACAAGAAGAAGGTACTATAGTCCAAACCATTTGGTATTTATAGGTGATACCAATCATTGTTGGTTTAAAACTGATACATCTTGGTTGTAAGATGCATATTTCTATATATATTTTTGTCTTTTGTCAGTTTGCTCTGTGGGGGGCGCTCTTCTGTGGGCTGAGCCTGTGTAATCAGCACACACTGGTCTTGTATGTTGTCATCATAATTCCCTGGGCCCTCCTGCACCTCTACACTCATAACGTAAGTATTGATAATCACTCAGCTTTCAACACATACTTTTTCAACATTTCACAATGATGTAAATGTCATTAATACCTTTCAAAGAGCATATTCTCTGATATTATGAACTCAAATACAGCCACATCACGTAATAAATATACAGCATTACAGAGATTAGTATTCATAACCCAGTGATTTCTGAAGGTCTTCAGGTACTGGTACTTGCAATTGAAAACAGTGCAAAGCAGTAGAGGCAATCGCTTCCATATAACTGTGGTTTTGTCCAAGTGTTATGTCTATGCTGTTGTTTTGGTATGTATTAAATTTGAACACTTGGCAATGGAAGGATCTATCAATAACAAGTGACATGCATTGCCCACAGGGTTTGTCCTTCTTTGGTCTGGTGTCTTTGGGGACGTGCTTTCTGGCTGGCTTTGTGCCCTACGTCTACTTGCCCATTTCCTCCTACCTCAACAGAGCTCGCTGGAGCTGGGGAGACCAGACGTCTCTCCACGGCCTCCTCACACACCTGCTCCGAGCTGAATATGGCACCTTCAGCCTGGTACCAACAGATTCAATAATGATTTATAATTTAAAAAACATGTTTTGAAAAATTAAATGTATGTACTCAAATGTGTAGTTATTTCCATGCTGCATTTATTTTATGAATCTAATGCACTGCATATGGAATTCTTTGGTTTCAGGCAAAGACGGATGAAAACTCGAACCTCCTAAAAATGTTATGGTGAGTGTAAGAAAATTGCAAAACAAATTAAAGGGATAGTTCATCCAAAAATGAAAATTCTGTTATTAATTACTCACCCTCATTTCGTTCCAAACCTGCAAGACCTTCGTACATCTTTGCAACACAAATGAAGATATTTTTGATGAAATCCAAGAGCTTTCTGACCCTGCATAGACAGCAACGTAACTACCACATTCAGGGCCCAGAAAGGCAGTAAGGACATTGTTAAAATAGTCTGTGTGACTTCAGTGGTTCAACCGTAATTTTATGAAGCTACGAGAATTTTTGTGTGCAAAGAAAACAAAAATAACAACTTTATTCAACAATTTCTTCTCTTCTGTGTCAGACTCCGCTGCGCATTCACGAGAGTACCACACCTTGTTTGATGAATAAATCCAAAATGTTTGTCTTGTTTTTGTCCAAGTGTTCTTCCACTTATATTAAGTAGCAGCTTTAATAAAGACTAAATACTCTGTTAATACCTCATCCATAGTTAATTATTGTACAGTAGATCCCCCTTCCCTCCAAAACTGCAACGCTGAACCTGCTAGGAATAACAAATCTGTTGTGTTGCACTGGCTTAGAAACGATCAGTGACGTTCACAGCATCTCTGATGACACTGGTGTAACACATCATGCGAGACTCAGGTCGTCTCCTCAGCCCACCCTCATCAAACGTTTGGGTGTCCCCAGAGAGAGAGCTTATTTTATGTCCCGCTAGCACCAATCAGCCGTTTCCCATCACCCCCCACAGCTGCCACATAGTGTGATGGACAGGTGAGATCCAGAGAGGGGAACACAACAAGCATGTCACAGCATAAACCTGCCATAAGGAGCTCAAACGCTCTCTCTCACACACACTCGCTTTCACACGACGCTTAAATAAGCTGTCAGAGAGAGATGGGTATTAAGGCACAGGCAGGGCACTATCTCTTTCAGCAGGGAAATTGGCCATTGACTGGGTTTGGGAGACAGATAGAGAGAAGCCTGTCACAAGACTGCACTTAATGTTGATAAAAAACAACAACATTCAGACACTCACAGCACTTTCAGTTTGAGTCTCTGTCCATCACACAGACATGCACACATAGTGGATATATTGATAAGTGTGTCTGTTGTGTTTCAGGGCTCAGTGGAATCACTGTGTGAATGATCTGTCTACTCTAGTACTAGTGCTGGCACTTCTAGGCATTTTACTGTCTTTGTGGAACAGGTAAGACGTGGCTGCATGAGATCCACTGAAGTGAAGGAAAAGCACACAATCTAAAAGTTTTTCATCCATCACAGTTTAATGTAAAGAGGATACTGTAAATGTAAACACTGGATGTGTTTTTTTTTTGAGCTGTCAAATATGTCAATTTCTGGCTCAACTACCTGTTTGTCTGAAACCTGTTGGGAATAATCATAATTCTTGCCATTTACATTCACTTCCATTTTGCAATTTCAATTTTATTTGGTGCTGCTAGTGGCACAGATATTGAACACTTCAACTTTATTTAAACTACCATTCAAAAGTTTGACTTTGGTACAATTTTTTTAATGTTTTTGAAACAAGTCTATTATTCTCACTAAGGCTGCATTTATTTAATCAAAAATGTAGCAAAAACAGTACTATTGTGAAATATTACTGAAGTTTAAAATAACTTTTTATCATTATCAATGTTGAAAACAGTTGTGCATTCAAAAGAACAGAATTCAAAATTATATATATTCTAATTTATAACTTTAAAAAAAATGTTTTTGTAATTTTTTTATTATTCTATTCAATTTTATTCAATTTAATGCTAATGTAAAAGTTTTCATTCTTTCAAAAAAAAAAAAAGCCATTGCGCCATGTTTGAATAATATATTTAATGCTAATTTAAAAGTTTTAATTTCATTCAAAAAATAAAATAAAATAAAATAAACATTTCTGGACCACTAAATCTGATTGGAGAGGTGGTGTTGAAAATTTGAAGCTTGAAATATTGCTGATATTATATACTATTATATTGTAACATATATTACATGTTATTCCTCCATTAACTAATTTTGTGGAAACTATTTTGACTCAATTTCGTTCTTGCAGGAAACATTATCGGCAGAGCAAAAAGCAACAATATTGTGTTTGAAATGTTAATTACTAGATATTAAATTGTTTATAAAAGCAATATCAATATTACAGGCAGACACAGCCATGCTAATATTCAGTACAATAGCACTTGTGCTCGTGTGATATTACTACAACTCTCTCCTATGCATACCATCATAGTTTTGCCATCATACTGTATTTCAAATGTAGTTTCAATGTATTCAAATGCAATATCATCATAAAACTTTTTTAATTAATGGCATATATTTGACCCCCAGACTGCGCTGTGTTTTTATTGGCTTGATTGTCACTATGGTGAGCACCTACTCCGTGTTCTTTGCCTGGAGAGCAAACCTGAATATCGAGAAGCCTCTTCTGCTGGGAGTGGTGAGTGTTACAATTCTAACAGATATGATTCTTATATGATGTAATATATTTCAAATTGACTTCAGTGAATATATCACATGTGTGTATGTAGGTGGAGCGCTTCTGGCTGCAGGCTGATGCTGGGGTGTGTGTTCTGGCTGGTCTGGGTCTGAGCTGGGCCGTGTGTTGGCTGAATGGCCGTCTGGGCTGGGGGACGCTGTGGAACACAGGAGCCTGGATACTCACTGCAGGCCTCATCTCACACATGATCAGCTTAAACCACAAGTAAACCATTCACACAGTCACACAGACTGGGAGCCAGTGGATGATATTAAACTTTTCAAACATCTTTAATTCACTTTTCAAAGTTTAAGGTCACAAAAGTCTTGAAATACCTTTGAAAAAAACTTTTAAAAATGTTGCTGTTAGAAAGGCAGCAGACACTTTTATTAAAGCAGCTTCAATAGCAATAGACATATATTTATGTTTTCATACTGATTTATATGCTAACCAATATTGAACACCAACATTACATTTCATATATGAAAGTGTTAAGGAGGTTTCTGTTCATTTGCTCTAGGAAATTTGTCCCCAGGTGGCCTTTTACATGAATGATGTGTGTATGTCTATATGTGTACACTACTGTTCAAAAGTTTAATCAGTAGTTTTTTGTTTTTTTTTAAAGAAATTAATAATTTTGTTGAGCAAGGATTCATCAAAGAGTCCTGTAAAACTTGATCATGTTTTCCCCAAAATATTAAGCAACGCTGTTGTCAACATTGATAAAAATAAGAAAACTTTACAGATGATTTATGAAGGATCACGTGACACTGAAGACTGGAGTAATGACTGGTGAAATTACTTTAACATCACAGGAAAAAATGTCATTTTTAAAATACATTAAAATAGAAAATGCTTATTTTAAATTCTAATAATATGTGACCCTGCACCACAAAAGCAGTCATAAATAGCACGGGTATATTTGTAGCAATAGCCAACAATACATTGTATGGGTCAAAATGATCGTTTTTTCTTTTATGCCAAAAATCATTAGGATATTAAGTAAAGATCATATTTCATAAGGATATTTTGTACATTTCCTACCGTGAATATATCAAAACGTAATTTTTGATTAGTAATATGCATTGCTAAGAACTGCATTTGGACAACTTTAAAGGCGATTTTCTCAATATTTAGATTTTTTTTGCACCCTCAGATTTTCAAATAGTTGTATCTCAGCCAAATATTGTCCTATCCTAACAAACCAAACTCAATTTCACAAAATGGACCCTTATGACTGGTTTTGTGGTCCTTGGTCACATATTTCACAATAGTACTGTGTTTACTATATTTTTGGTTCAATAAATGCAGCCTATAAATAAATATGGTTAAATACTGTTCTTTTAAGAAGTAATTAACGGTAAAACATTCCTGAGCTTCATACTGTACATCAGTTCTGGCATTAAACATTTTTAATGTTTTAATGTTTGGCCCAAATGATGATTCCTCAATCAATCATATTTATTTATTTATACTCAGAATATTGAATATCATCAAAAGGCTACTGTTTGTATATTTGTATAACTGACAACCATAATTCTGTGCTATTTCATGTATTGCCCCTTTTGTGTTGGTGATAACAACCAGCTGACATTATCTCTTACTTGATATTAATTTCGATTTTTAATTTTGAAACCCATTCCATTAAATTCAATACATTTCCACCTAAAATCAGTGCTGAAAATAGAAAATAGTTTTTATAATCAGCGGACTACAGTAGTCAAAGAAATGCAGATTGGTATTATGACCGGTCTAAATACTAATTATTTTGCAGTGGGCCTATCAGTGTGCATTACTGCATTAACATCACAGACCCGCTGAACCATCAGAGTCTGAGTTTTTTTAAATATATTTGTGGTTGATCATCCAGACCATGGCAGTCACTCATTTCCTCCATGCTTCAGCAGCACACTGCACACATCAAAGCAAAAGCTCTCTTGCACTCTTCTGCAGCTTTGACTCTATGCTTGATTAGCCGTCCTGGCCACGCTAGTCATGCAGATTAAAGCAGCCGAGTTCTGTGCTTGATTAGACATCCTAGCCACGGCAGTCATGTAGATTAGAGCGCTGAGGTTTGGTACATCGCTTTGATCAGTGGTGAGACTTGTCAGCGCTCATCACACCTGTCCGAGGCTGATTACAGCCGAGAGATGTTCCACCTCGTCACTGCTCACAGAGAAACAGAGCTACTGACTGCAGAATAGCTGAAAGAACGAGAATGTCACGGATCCTTACACTTTTGTGCAAACTCTTCAAAGTAAACATTACTGCTGTGCTGATGTGGTTGAAGTATTTGTGAATGAATGTGCGGGTGCATTCACACACGCAGCTCATAAAACCTTTATATCACTTTCAGATCACTTTCATCTGGCAAACTCTCAGTATCAAATGCTGTCTTTGTAAAGCTGTTACAACAGACTATTTTCACTAAAGACTTTTACACACAGGCATTATTAACCTATTGACCTTTATTGACCTTTGGGATATTGTAGGTGCAATAATTACTGAAATCTGGTGGTAATTATCATGTACTAGGCAAGATATCATACAAACAAACAAATAAATAAATACAAAAACTAGTTACTTGTGTTAAAACCTTATAGTTGACATGTTCACCTAAGATATTATGTTTAAGATCATATTTTAAGATCACATTTGAACACTTAAACAATTTGCTTTAGTTCAATGATAATATAAAATTATTCAGTTTAGGAAACAATAGGTAATTTTGTTTTCTTTGCAATATTACATTAATATGTGCAATATTTTGAAGCAATTCATATTTGAATATAATATTACAAATAATAGGTTAATTTTTCCTATAATATTAATTTTTCCTATAAAATGATCAACGTATTTGCAGCAGTTATTTAAATATTTTTTGTATACTATTAAAGTTTTTATTAATATTTGAATTAGCTTTTATTTTTAGATTTTAAGTTTTCATTGTATTTTTAAAATAGTTTTATGTGTTTATATATATATATATATATATATATAAGTGCTGTCAAACGATTAACCGCGATTAATCGCATCCAAAATAAAAGTTTTTGTTTACATAATATATGTGTGTACTGTGTATATTTATTATGTATATATAAAGACACACACATACAGCATATATTTTGAAAATATTTACATGTATTTATGAGTATATATTTACATTCATATAAATTATATCGTATATAAATATATTTAATATGTAAACGTAACATAATTTTCTTAAATATGTACATGCATGTGTGTGTATTTATATATACATAATAAATGTACACCGTACACACACATATATTATGTAAACAAAAACTTTTATTTTGGATGCGATTAATCACGATTAATTGTTTGATAGCACTAATATATATATAGATATATATATAATTATAATAATAATAATAATAATTATCTTTTTATATCAGTTTTAGTTGTCTTTTTATTTACAGTTATTTTAGTACTTTAATCTAAACTTATTTCAAATTTTTATTTACTTTGAGTTTTTCATGTAATATATGTATATTTCAATTGATTTCAGCTTTATTTAAATTACCAAAAATGTTTTAATAGTTTTAGTTTAATGATAATAACACTTATTTGAGGTGCTTAGCATCAAAAAAATTTAAAACCCATGCTGTATATAAATATACAAAAAATTGTGGCCCTATTTAACCCCTACTCTGCAAGTCAAGAAACACTGCACATCCTGTTTTCATACTGTGTTTTAGAGAAGGTATTTTCAGTGTTTTGTCTGTGTGTCGACAGAGAGTGTGATCAGAGCGCTAATGACGTGGTGGACAGGTTTGCCCGTGAGGTTGTGTTGTCACTGCCGGCGAGCTCGTTGGTTCTGACTCGTGGTGATCTCCCAGGAAACACACTGCGCTACCTGCACTACTGCCAGGGTCTCCGGCCAGACCTCAGCCTTGTTGACCAGGAGGTCCGTAATCCAGCCTGACACATGTCTAATTTATTTCAGCCATAAACACGCTACTCTGTCACTGTTTCGAATGGCTTTTAAAAGCCGGCGTTTTATGATGCAGATGATGACGTATAGCTGGTATGTGGCAAAACTCCAGAAGCATTTACCTGGAGTCACGTTTCCAGGGCGCTGGTGGGATCCAATCAACACCATGGAAAAGAAAACATTCAGCATTGAGCAGTTTCTCAAGCACAATATGCAGTAAGATACACACACACAGAGGTCTGTGTTCATATTCATATGCCCTCTTTATATATGCTACAAGTGACATTTAAATTATAATTTGTGCATATTTTTATAGAACAATTTGCTGAATGCACTAGAGATAGATTGTCATCTGTTACCCCTTATACCACACTGCAAGAGCAAAGGAGATTAACCATCTATACTGCCTCCCTCCACCAGACGGCAGTATTTCCTTGGTAAAGCCCCCGGCCTCTGAGAGGGGGGCAATAAGCACTTCAGTCATTTCCCTGGGAAGCAGAACAGAGAGAATAAGAAATAAATACTTGAGAAAAAAAAAATCAGCAACCTGCTTGTTTTGTTAAGAGAGCCAGTTTCTATATCCCTGCCATGTGTATCCTGTGATTCAGGATCTATAATGGCTCTAACATAACAGACAGGCTTAAAAGCTTTTACTCAGTTCTACTCTAAAATACTCTACTTTAAAGATTTTTTTGCTTCTTGCTGGATTATGCAGAGAATGAAAGTATATAGCCTATATAGGCAGTGTTGGGGAAAGTTACTTTTAAAAGTAATGCATTATAATATTATGTTACTTAGTTACTTTTTATGGAAAGTAATGCGTTATGTTACTTTTGCGTTACTTTTTTAATCTGGACAGGGCTTGCTTGTTTGTTTTTAAAATAAAGCTGTCAATCAATAAATTGGAAAAAAAAAAGTAACTTGCGTTACTTATTTGAAAAAGTAACGGATATTCTCTTGTAAATTAAAAAGTAATGCGTTAATTTACTAGTTACTTGAAAAAAGTAATCTGATTACGTAACTCGCATTACTTGTAATGCGTTACCCCCAACACTGTATATAGGTAATAATTTTATTTGGTTTCCATGGGGAGTTTTTTTTAAACATGTTGTTCAGTAACAAACAGAAGCAAAACTATCTATAGCAGCACTTTATAATAATGTCCATTTGTAACATTATAACATAACAACAAGCAATGTTACATTATGTAACACAAGATTTATGTACCTTTTAATAATAAATATATAGGAATCTTAACTTAGTTTTCTATTTGAATGTAAAACATAATGAATGTTATTATGAAGATGTACACATTAATTTTAAACTGTACACTGATGCTCAGTCTTTGCTCTGGGTTTGTCTACAGCAGGCCAGTGTTTGCATGTATTGGCCTTACTGAGGGTGACCCCAGCTGGGAGAGGAGTTTCTCTCGTTGGCCCTGGGGCGTCTGTGAGCAGTTAGTACCTGTCAAAACCCCATTTGACCCTGAAAAATGGGCCCAAAAAACACTTAACCTTTACAACTGGAGCCAGCCACATGACAGGTAGCACGATTACTTGTGTTTGTGGTTTACTTAGGAAGTGACATATTGCCTGAATACTTTTTGGTAATATGTGGAATTTAATGTTTCAAGCTGAAATGAACATTAGGCTAACAGATTTGTTATTTTCATACAGATTATGATTAGAGGGGCAAAGTATTGATAAATAAAGACTTGTTTTTTGCACAATACTGTTATGACCTTAAAACACTTTTACAACAGTGCATGATTTGTAAACAAATACATTTTGATGTTTGCATCACATAACCAGCTCCATATATATAGCATTTCTGATGCAGTAAACTTGCTTGATAGCTCACCTGGTGTAGCATTGCTCTGAATCACGATTCACGACACTCCACAAAAGAGCACTAGATAGGGTTTAGTGCAGGGGGTACATTTTTTAAGCTTCATAAGCACCACTGACTGGACGTTTATTTTCTGTGAAAATTGAACACGCTATTTTGCACCAGTCACTGGACATTTTACTTTGAAAGTGCAGTGAAACATGCCTCAAGCAGCGCAGTATCTTTTTGCAAACATGCACCCATAGGCATGTTTTTTTCATGACACTACTAGGCAGTTTAATAAACCCACATGACATGGAGAAAAAAATTCTATCACTTATAGCACCCCTTGTGGACGTGACACTTAAAAGTGCAGCACAATGTACCTGGATCAGTGCATTCCAGGTGTTGTAGATATCTAAGCAATTAAAATTTTCATGGTACTGTGATATATACCATGGCGCTAATTTAACAAATCTTGTATCATTTTATCTGCTGTATTTTTGTGTTTATTTGGTTTTATTTTGTGTTTGTATTATTCCAACTTATCGCCATGAAGATAACCTTAGATGCTGACATGGCAATAAAAATAAATAACTACTAGTATACCATGGTGCTAAATGATTACTATATTCATTTACTACAGCATTCACATGAGGTTCCATGGATCTCAAAGAATTTCATGGTACTTTCCATGGTACCTGTCTGAAATCCTTGGTATTACCACGTTGCCATGTCCAAAAAAAAAAAAAACCTGTGTAATTCTATGGTGTTTTTAAGTGCTTATGTTAGTCATTAAAGTATGTGCTCCAGCCATTTAATCTGAGTAAAAATGTTATGTTATTGAAGAAAGAATAAAATTATGATTAAGCTGTCATTAAAGATTGCAATCAAAGATGTTTAGGACCCTACAAATGCAAAATGGTCAGTTAAACATATTTTGTCTGTCTAACTGGCAAGTTTGGAGCAGCTATGCTTAGATTTTGTGAAAAAGGATATGAAATTGATCAGAAACACTTTGAATCAGTTTTTCTCAACTCCAATGTCAAGTCAAGTCACACTTTATACAATACAGATTGTGCCAAAGCAGCTTTACAGTGTTAAACAGAAAATTGTTTTTCAATAATACAAACAAAATTAAATTCTCTAAAAAGAGGACAATGGTAAACAATCAATTTTCCAGTTAAAGTCAGTTCATCATTGATTCAGTGACGTCAACGTCCAGCTCAGTTCAGTTCTCTTCCAGTAGTGTCTGTGCAATCAAGTCGACAATATTGCCAAGTCCCCAACCAAAAGGCGTCAGTGGCAAGGAACTCAAACTCCATCGGTCTGCCAAATGAAATAAATGTATATGTAAATAAATGTTTGAAATGATACTAGTCAATGTACCTTTAGGTTCATCACTGGTCTGAGCATCCTTACCAGGTGCACTCCAGCACCATTTTACACCTCGTGCAACCCATTGAAGTGTTTTGGTCTTTGCTGATATTAAAGTGCACTTAAACACTGCTCTGACTTCATGCTGTGCAGACAGCCTCTGTTTCCATCTTCAAAGTCGTTATTAGTCCGCTGACCCCACCCTAATGACTTTCTAAACTGCGGCGTGTCAATATCTGTGTATAAAGTGAAATTAGTTCTAGTCTCCAGCACTGAGGCTCTCTGCAGCCGACTGGTATTCAGCAAGTTAATCGGGGTTGAATGGTGTGACATTACTCTCCTCTCACCCACTACAAGCGTGTCCATCCCTGCCTGCCAGCCAAATATTAGCAGGGAAGTCACACGCTAAAATATTCCTTTGAAGGAGAGGCCGCACGTTTATGAGCGATGTAGTGGAAAGGAAGAAATGCAGAAATATATGGGTCGTTCACCACAGAGAGAGCTTCCAAAGACAGGCGAGGTTGAAGATCAGCTGTTGTGTGGTTTTAAGATATGCAGAATACGATTCGCTGGATTACTGGCTGGTTTTAAACTTGTATTTCAAGTCCGTACTCAACAAGACTGCTTTGATGCCATCTGAATGTACATAAAAAAAATATATATTTTTTTTTCTTTGCATATCATCAACTTGGTTATTTTTTGAAAGTACACACTTATGAAAGTAAGATTAGCTACTCACAGCTAATTAAATGACATTATAACGTTTGTTTATTCCACTCTGTCAGCTTCCACCCTGGCTCCTGGGAGAGAGTTGCCAATGAGGAGATGTGGCAGGCCAGGTAATACATGGGTTACGGATCTCATCACTGTATCTACACCAAACCTCAGTATATAGCGACAAAGGTATACTTGGGTGCTTTTATTCCATCACTTTTTAGGATGAAGACAGCTTTTTTCCTGTTTGTCCTGGCTGAGAACATGGAGAAGGAACAGCAGGCCCGTCTCTATGAGCTTTGTTACAATGTGAGTAGGAAATGACATCATATATTAGCCTTTTTTGGAATGACTGTGCTTGCAATGCAGCTTCCAATAAATATTTTTATTGTGTTCTACTTCACATGATTCAGTGACTCTCTCAATATGTACTTATTTCATTGCTGGATGAATCAGTGTTTTTAAATGAATCTCTTGAATGAATGATTCAAAGACAAATACATTTACTTTATTATTAACAGGTTTATTTTGTAATGAACTGTTTAAACATACTCTTTGTTTAGATACTGTAAGCTCAGTCTTAATTGTGCCATTTTATTTAAGAAATTTAAGTTTGAAAATCTAAAATATCTTATTGGCATACTATTACAGAATGTTCGCTTTCGACAGTAATTTGCATGGTGAATTTTTTCATGTTTTTAACAACAAAAAAACAAGATGCACAGTGAGCATCATGAAAGCGGCAAAGCGGCTCTAATGCAACATTATACACACAATCAAAGCCTAAAATCAAAGCTTACCTAAAACCTTTAACACTTTCTTTTGCTACCTTGCAAGCTCTGCTATTTCCTTAAGGAAATGCAAATCTAGTTTGTCAGCATTGATGTGTCATGTGAAATTATTTGTAGACTGAATACAGTTCCTTAAAACATCACAGCTGATGTCTTCTATCATTTATGTTGTGTTTTAAAAACCGTTTATAAACCTGTTTTAAAAAGTCTCTTTTAAAAGTTATTAATATCGTCTATTATACAAATAGTTAAAGCTATGTGGTCTTTTTTTTTATTGACAGCTGTATTGTCAAATAGTGGATACCCAGGTAGACTACCCAGCAAACTGGGATAAGAACCTGGCTCTTGCCGCAGAACGTCTGCTGCGATCAGGGGGCAGAGGTCATGGTCTAGATTCCCTCCTGAGTCGCAGCATCCGCCACTTCAGCCACTACCTTCAGAGAGAACCCACCGATCCCCAGAGCAAAGCCATCCGCTCCATCATCACACATCTCAAGAAAGAGCACGAGAAACTCAGAGACAGACAGAAGGCTTGAGACAGGAAGTGACATAAGTTGTCTGAAACAACACAGAGAGCCTTCAAAACACTGAAATTACCTACGGCACTACATAGGTGCAGATAGCACAATAAGGTAAGAGGGAGGGTCGTAAATATGAAGAAAGCTGTAAAGACGAAATTTAAAGACAGTGCAGGTATGACTGAAGACTGTAACTGATGTTTAATGTGTATTTTACCAACACTCAGATTAATCTCAAAGTAAATTGGACTCAAAATGCTAAAATGGACCAATCTGTCATAACATGAGTTTTATACAGAGATCTTTTATATTGTAGGATATGAGCTACTGATCCATAACCACATCATTGTAACATCAGAGTAAGCTGTTAATTTAGTTGACAGACATTATTTCATTAACAAGATGATATAGTGGCCGGTTATAAAAATCAGGGATTCATTTATATTTCCTCAACATGCTAAACTCAAACATCTACGACTCCAAGATTCAAGAGAATTTCCACAGTGAAGGTAAAGGGACACAATTTTCTGAACTCTAATAGAATTTGTTGTATTTGTGTAGGTTTCTTTTGTAATAAAATGTTCACACTTTGTGAATGTTAATATGCATTGAGTTGATAATCAAAGGTGTCCTTAACCACTCATTCCGCCTCTCCCCATCTCTCTTTTTTGAATAATTATCATTTGCCACCCGCTGTCATGCATCTCTCTCTCTCTCACTTTAGGATCACAAAGGTCTCAGATTGAGATTGAGGGGGGTGGGGGGTAAATTTGGGCACATCCATGAGAGATTAAGAATGACCCATTAATCTGGGACAGATTTGAAAATACTGCATCCTTTTCCCTGTCTCTTTTTTCTGCTTTGTCTATCTCTCAAAACAGCTTTGAGTCTTCAACAGAAGAGACGTGACCCCTAGGGAGCCCGCCAACTATTGTTTGATTTTAAAATGATATATTCTGATAGAAATTTTGTTAATATAAACAATTTTGTGTTTTGTGGTCACTGGATGATCAATGTAAAATGTGGGTCTTAAGAGCAGCGACAATCAGCTGGTTGAAGAATGGTTTCATCCTGAGTTCAGGATGTCAGCTACACCTTATCACAACATATAACGTCTCCCCTTCTCATGTACATTCATCTCTTCTTCCACTGAGCTGCTTTCTCTCCGTCCCTCCCTGTCCCTGTTTTTGCCTCTCTCTCATCTGAGGGATTGTGTGAACCCATGGAATCGCCATGACCGTGGATGCAGGCAGGGAGCCACAGCAACACTGGAATGTGGGGTGCCTGAACAGATAAGAGCTGAGAAACCCAGCCAGGCAGAGGGAGCAAAGACAAGCAAGCGAGAATTAATATGTACATAGGATGGTGTATATGGCACGATAGGACAGAGTTAGACAGGAAGTGCTAGAAAGAGGCGAATGGACACTGACAAGACAGAAATGAAATCGCAGCACAGGGACTTGGAGACAAAAGAGGGAAGGTAAGAGAGAGGCCCATGAATGGTAATCCTTGAGAAAGTGCCAAAGAGAGCAGTGCAGTTGCACACACACACTCATAACATGGGAAGCCAGCCTTATTCCTCTTTGCATTTCATTTACATCCCTGGCTGTATCGACCAATCGGATTGGGAGCAAAGCCCGAGGCTTAGGAGGGGAATAAAAAGACAAAAATGCCTTTGCTGCTCTCATCCCTCTCTGATAATACCCCCTCTGTTTCTCCTTTCTCCTCTGCACAACGCAGAGAAGTAGATACTGTCCGAAATGCCATAGCAGAAGCGACACCTCCGCTCCCTGTGCTTTGCCGATAGACCTCGCCAGCGGCAGGCCTGAAAAGGGGGCTTTAGCTGCGGGGCCAATCTCCTCTACTTCCTCCTGCTGAGTGAGTGGAGGAAGGGATGGAGGACCACGGAGGAGGGTGGAAGGGATGGAGACACAGTATGTGAAATTGGCTATAATGTGCGTGCCACATTACAGACTGGAGAAAATGAAACTTGTCCAGTGTGGAAGATCACTCTGTGTTTAGACAGAAGAGCATGCTTTTCTGAGACTGTGTCTAAAACCGAAGTCAGCTGCCTTGCTGCTCAATAAGTCAGTGACTTAACAGACACCTTATTTGTATAAAGTTATGAGGAGTATTAGGCCTGTTTGCTCCTGGAGGGCCACCTTCCTGCAGGGTTTAGCTCAAACGTGCTCTAACACACCTGCTGGAAGTTTCTGGATACCATTAACACCTTAAAAATACCTTAACTGGCTAGTTTTGATGTGTTTGATTAGGGTTGGAGGAAGTGGCCCTTCTGGAGCAGGATGGGGCATCCCTGTCCTAAGGTAACTCACAAAAGGTCTTAGAAACAGTACTGAAAATATTTGTGTCAGAAGAAAACTACTGTTAGAAATACAGCCTGGCCCTCATCTTCTCCATGTGACCCTTCAGTTTTTGATCCACAAACAAGCCCTTAGAACTGCCAAGACATGTCATCTGCCACACCATCTCACCGTCATCCCTCCTCCTAAAGTCTGCCTTCTCCATCTCTTCATCCCTCATCCCTCTCTTTAATAAACCTCTGAACAATGGAAGGAGAAATGAGAGGGATTAGGCAGAGGCAGGGATTGTCTCCATTTCTCTGGATTGATTCTTGAACCTTTGTTTAATCCCTGGCCCTGGACCCACATAGCTGTGATTGACTGCCTTAGGTGGGTTGTTGGAAGCTGGTTGAGGAGTGAAGAGATGAAAACTCTGGCTGCTGTACTGGGGGTAACACTGAGCGGCTCATGTCTGTGGTGGTCCTATAGTGTCTTTGGGAAGCCCTGATAAGAATGAGGGCATGGAGCTATTGAGGGAATAGATGGATGGATTCCACTGGCTGGAGTGCTTCTAGACAGAAGGTTGGGTCCTTTTGATGATTTAAAGGGTTAGCTCACCCAAAAATGAAAATTAGCCCATATTTTACTCCCCATCAAGGCATCCTAGGTTTATATGACTTTCTTCATTCAGACAAATCTAATCGGAGTTATATTAAAAACTGTCCTTGCTCTTCCAAGCTTTATAATGGCATGGATGGGTGTTTTTGTTCAACAGTCCAAAAGCAGTGAAATGAAGTGCATCCATCCATATTAAAACGTGCCTCACACGGCTCCAGGGGGTGAATAAAGGCGTCCTGTAGCGAATCAATGTGTTTTTGTAAAAAAAAAAGATCTGTATTTAAAACGACGTAAACAGTTTAGTGTCCGCTAACTGTCGTATGCGCGTTCTCGAGAGACTGTCTTTTTGGTGGATGCCGTCGGACGTAGGCGTAGCGCATGCGTGTGTGAGTCTCGCGAAAACCAACGTTTGTTTACAGGACTTGTTTTCTTTACAAATCCTCATTTTGTACTTATAATTCGTGACTGGCATTTTGTTTTGTTTTCTCTCCGTCGTGCTTCCGTGTTCATCACTAATCACTGGTGCATGTGCTATGCCTACTTCCTACGTCATCCGCCGGAACGGCTTACGCGTACTAGAGTTAGCAGAAGTGAAAGAAAGGTGTTTATAACATTTTAAATATGGATATTTTTCTTACAAAAACACATCAATTTGCTACAGGAGGCCTTTATTTCCCCCCCCCCCCGGAACCGTGTGAGGCACGTTTTAATATGGATGGATGCACTTTGTTTGACTAATTTTGGACTATTGAAAAAAACACCCACCCATGCCATTAGAAAGATTGGAAGAGCAAGAATTTTTTTTATATATAACTCCGATTGGATTCCTCTGAAAGAAGAAAGTCATATACACCTAGGATGCCTTGAGGGTAAGACATGGACTAATTTTCATATTTGGGTGAACTGACCCTTTAAATGTAGGTTATGTGTGTGTGTGTGATTGAATGTTTGAGGCCACCTGAACAATTAATCCAATTCTGAACATGTAGAGTTTGATCACTTCAATTCAACCAATTTAACTCCCAAAAGACCCCTGAATTTTCATTAAATCTGCATAGTGTATGGAGATCCAAACCAAGGTATGTCTTGTGTTGACTCATTCATCAATTTTGATACTTTGTCTCTCCACCACTAGTTGCTCTCACCAGCACTGAAGGTTTAGAGAAGGCCCATAAGTTTACAGGTCCTAGGACAATAATTGTATACTAAAGGTCGGTCCTTCTCCCTGTTGCCCAAAGAATAGACCAGAGTTTTTAAACACCTGGGGGCTCGTTTATAAAACATGCATACACACAGATTTGCCTGGAAATTTCTAGTAAGTCTGAATACCTTGATTAGCTGGTTCAAGTGTGTGTAAGTGGGGCAGGAGGTAAACTCTGCAGGACAGTGGTCCTCCAGGAACAGGTTTGGACACCCCTGTTTTATAATATAATCCTGAAGACCTTGATCAGGTGTGTTTGATTAGGGTTGGAGTTAAAGTCTGCAGGACAGTGGCTCTCAAAGGAGTAGGGTTGAACATAGAGGACCTTCTTTGGACCCCCTAGTAACAAGACTAGATCTGCCAAAACATGGCTACCATGGACATCTTGGTATTGATGTATTGCATACATGCGTAGAACGGTTTAGGAACTTGTATTTTGGAACTTATATCACTCCCAAATACTGTTGAAGTACTGCCTATATGTAACATCTGTCTACACTCAATAATTTGTTCAACTGAGCAACAGACCTCACTGTGATAAGACCATTGTGATCCTTTTGGAATATCACAAGAGACTAAAGATACTATGACCAACAGCCGTTTCATAAAAGATCCTTTAGCTTTGCAGCTTACCAACATAGAATAGCCTCATTTTCTGATACTTGTGTAGATCTATTTAAATAATGGTGAGGTAAACTCACAAATTAAACACCTTTATGAATGCCCACAGGCTCTGAAAAAGGACGTCTCATTGTACAGAAGAAACCCTCAGAAAGGGTAAGATGATATCTTACCTTTCATGTGATTAGTTGCTCTAAGTGAGTGGATGTGTGTTTGTGTATGTGCCCAGAGCAGTGTTTCCAATTAAACGGACCTGTCTTCCTTCTCCCTCCGGTTCTAATTTTTTGCCACATTAAAGGAGTGCGACGCCATTGAGGACACAGAGCCACATTTTCATAATTTGCTGCCTCAATGTGCTTGCATCCCCTTGCATCTTTGGCTGTGAATGCATGCCTGGGGAAGAGGCACAGCCACCATCCACTGAGAGAGAGAAACAATATTCACATGTAGCTGCAATATCAAGTATGTTTTCTTTAATTTACTGGTATATAATGCATTTAAATTGTTTCTATTTATAAGTCGTGTAGTAGCACCTTTCTAGCTCTTACCAAATTATTGGATCTTGAAGGGTTAGTTCACCCAAAATTCCCAGAAGAGCAACACGACAACATATTCAAAGAGAACTTATGGATTTGGTGTTTCCTTACTTCTAATAACAGTACAAATGAGCACTATAAGTCTCAAGCCATATGATAACTTTTTGTGAAGAACAGATTGCAATTTCTGTGAATAACAAGTGGCAGTTTGAATACACGGAAGTGCGAGTGACATTTGAAAATAACAGTGGAGTGGGAAAATGACCAGTTTCAGAAGAATTTTAATTTTTGGGTGAATTATTCCTATAGCCTCTCAGAATATCAAATCGTGTTTGGATCCAAACAGCATGTTTTTAATAAAATACCAGCGTGTTCATTACAGCCTCGTTGATGGTCAATCAATGGATTAACTTAGAAGGTTACTGCGTACTGTAGTTTCATTGGTTTACAATTCATATTGCAACAAACATTTAATCAGGGATTGCTTGGTTGACACTTTTTCATGATTTCTTGTGGAAAATATTTGTGAAGGGCTTAAACGGATGAATCAC